TTTGGTGAATATAGGGTAGAATAATGGCAGTTTTTTTTTCTGTTATTTACCTATTATTCATCCTTTATTCATTCATTCGACCTGTGAATCTTTGTATAAGATAAACATTTTGTTATGTTCGATTTGCACAGACTGAACAATAGAATTGGTTTAAAAACTGATTCTATTGTTGTATCTTATAGTGTCTAGAAGGTTATTGAATTTAAATTCTACTTTTATATATTTATTTCTTATTTTTATTTATTTTATTTTCCTTTAAATAAAAGATTTTCTACTTAGCATTCATGTATTTAAAATTACTACAGCTTGCTAGTTTTTAGTAAATTTTATTACAATATCAAAAGACTGCATCTAACTATTTTAAAAAACTATATCAAATAATATTATATTATTTTTAATAAGCTTTCTAATTGTATCTTTTTATAAACTATTTATTCTTTTGTTATCTTTTTTTTTTTTTTCTATTTTTTGACACCTGATAATTTTTACTTTTTTTTAAACTGTTTTTTTTTTTTATTTGGCTTTTTTTATTTTATTTTTTTTAGTATTCTTCTCTTGATGCTTATTGAGATTCTTAATTTTTTTTTCTATTTGACTATATTTTTTATATACGTATTTTCATAAAAGCAATTTTATAATATATTTAATGTTATCTTAATAAAGGCTTTGGTTTCTCATATTTATTGAAGTTCTTAAATTTCATAAGTAGGTTTTTTAAAAAATAATTTCATAAAAGTTTTTTGTCTTGATACCACTCTTTCTTTTCTAGTTGAGCTAAAATTTCTTTTTTTAAAAAAAATAACAGTAAATTTACAAGCAAAAACTAATTGTTTAAAAAATAAATTAAAAAAACTCCCAGATAAATGGATTAGTTGTATAGTCTTATAAAGTAATTACAATCGAATAAAGCCGAATGTTATCTCGAAACGTGTAATTTAAAGAGGGCCAATAATTAATTTAACAGAATGCGAACCATAATCTTGTTTTTAAAAATTTTGGCTAAATTAATTCTGAACCTTCCTTAAATTGCATGCCCTAAAATAACGTCCCGGAGCGTTATTTCACGCAAATATAATAAATAATATTTTCTAAATAAATTTCGTAGATGCAAAACTTATATATACATACGATTACTATCAAAATAATTCCTATTATTAACTGCAAAACTTCAATCGTTACTTTAATTTTAACCTTTTTTGCATAATATATAGTTTTTAATATTTGTTTACTTTTAAACAAAAACAAAGTTCTTAAAATTATAATCTAACCAATATATAGTTTAGGTTTTATGTTTATCACTGACATTTGAAAATAAAACTTTATTTATGCTATAGACAGGCAGGACAATGTAGCCTGTGTTTCAATTACCTATTTAAAATTAAAATAAGTAGTAATTAAGGAAGAAGAAGGATAAAAAAAAGAAGATAAAATAAGATACAAACCTCGATCGCTTGTTTAATTTCTAAATGATTTCTAGCCGATGTAATCCAATCATTAGCCAACTTTTTTGGCCAACCCTCTAATTGATTCAACTCTCTTGTCGCAGTATCTAAATCATTTTTATTAAGATAATACTGGACCCGAGCAAGTATCGCCTCCACATCATTTCCATCCACAAGTCCATGTTTACGAAACAATATTTTAGATAATATAAGAGATGATAAATGAGACAATACACCACCGTCTTCAGGTACTAAAGATGCACGTCTAACTTCCTCTCTTACAGTGTTAAATCGTTTTGATAAATCCGAAATGGAATCAACACCATTTATGGCAACCGAATCGTCGATTGTAGACAATACAGCTGATACCACTTCATCAGTTGAAAAAAAACGACGCATTGCAACAATCAGATCGATAAACGGAGTTCGATGAGGTTGTTCAATTGCATTTTGTAATGATTTCAATGCACACCATAAACGATGTACTTTGATACTAGCATCCAAATTATCGGTGTTGTCTACGCAAAAGCGTTCAAGCGTTTTGAGACGTTTATTAATATAATCTAATCTTGCTAGACGCCCAGAACGTTCCTTCTCAACCATGATCATTACGTCTTTTACCCATCGACGTTGCATGTCAACAGCCTGTCGAACAAGTTCATTCTCTAACTCTTCCTTGTATTTTGATGCTTGATGCGAAAGCTCAGAGTTAAGTTTTTTCTGATAGTCTTGATCGAATTGTTGCGTCAGATTGATTTCTTTTTTTGCAATAGTTTGATCGAATTCTTCCTGTTGTTCAGTTAGTTTCTTTTGCAACAAATCCTGATCTTCGGCCTTAAGCTGGTCAATATTTTTACTGAGCTCATTTAACTCATCTTTTGCTCGAGATAAAATTTTCTTTCCAGAATTTTTTACGTTGTGATTTATCATGAAGGTTTCAAGTTCTTTAAGTGTACCGGAAAGTTTACGAATGATTGGATTTTCTTTATTGGACGATTCGGATATTTTATCGGAAGGTGATATGCTATCTTCGGATGGTTCAGGCAGACCGATGTATTTATAGCTTATTTGTTTCACTTTCTTTTTCATATCATAAAAAACACCCTGGCTTTGAAGATCCTCCGTATATTCTACTACCTGTTTTGCTCCATAAATATGTTCAGTAAAATAATCTCGAAATTTATCATTGTTTAGAGAAAAATACACAGCTCCACCATATGCTATACCGCCTAAAAGTGTTATTTGGAACAGAAATTTACCGAATTTAAATTTTTTTTTTTGAGTTGGCGTAGCAACTTCTTGAGTTTGATTAGAAGCTTTTGACTCGGTGACCTCTGATATTTTTTTACTGTCAATATTATGCATAGTAGGTGTCGGTTTCGCAGCCTTTTCGTTACTTGCAAACCTCTGTTTTCGCATGTTGTATTTAAAAATACATTATCTAACAAATTTTTTTTTTTATTTTTTAGCAAAGGGCCCGAAACAATATAAATAAATTATTAAAGGAACCTTTACAATTTGAGTTATTCGTTGTCTCGGTGAGGACATAAGCAAACACTTAGATCGTGTTTGAGTAGCTTGACGCATGACTCTTAGCATAATTGCTGTTTTACGTTTTAATTTCTATGAATATGATATGTACGTACGTTTTTTTTTTTTTTTTTTTTAAGCATATCGATATTATCGTTATCTATGGTAATACAGCATATCGCGAAACTAGATGGATGACTTTACTCACGTGGTTTTAAATCTTTAATCGTCACGTTACATAGCGATAGTCAAAATGAAATTTTAACAAGTTTTTTATATAATAGAAAATTTTTATCCAAAGTAGATACTATATACATATCACTCGACGTTTTTGAGACATTAGTAAAATTTTCAAAATGCCGATACAGTGAGTTATACTGACATTTTATATTAAAATTTGAAAAAAAAAAATGTCGATATAGAAAGATTTTGCTATGATGTCGGTATAACCAGTGATGTGTATTGATTGAATTTTTACTATCAAAGCCACTAAGATTTTCCGGATTCTTTTTTAAATTCATATAACGATAAACGAGTGGGCTCGTATTCTACCAATTTTTATTAGAAGTGATCCTGACAATGCGAACATTTACGACATTAATATGTACTATGTATTTTTAAACATTTAGAGACATTTAGAGGAATAACTAATAATTTTTTTCTTTCGAATAAATAGAATTTCATGCAACCGAAGCAAGTCATAGAATAAGTTAAATTTTAATTTGGTCAGAGTTTTTGCTGATCAACAAATAAAACCAAAATTTTCATTCTGCTATCTTAATGTATTCGTTACAACCAGCTGTCGGTTATACAGATGTAGTTATAACCAGAGTAAGTCCTGTAACGATCCATAGACTTATCGTTATACACTAATATCGACATGGATTATTGTTCCACCCAGCCCCTGACAAAGACAGAATTTTCCCCACCCTGTATGTACGATTTAATTAAATTATGTTACTTATGTAACCGAAAAATTGCTTTTATATTGAAATATTTATCATCTAGAGAAAATAACGCTATACTTTTAAGAAATGTTCAAAATTTCAACCCAATAATATTGTCGACCGCGCGGCTATCGCCACTAGCCTTATATATTAAATTAACTCCAGAAAAAACAGGTACATGAGCAGGGTAACTCTTAGTTGACTAAGCGAGCAAAAAGCTCGAGTTCAACCAGTATTATGACAAAAATGGTTGCATCCGTTTCTTTTCAAGATTGATTATTATAAAAAAAAGTGAAATAATAAAATGATGGAAACAATTTACTTACTCTCATAATGATATGATAACTGATAATGACAATGCTATCTCTTTAAACTATATATGAGATTATTTCTTCGATAATGAACCAATCAAACTTAATGCATTAATATCATCTTGATGCGTAACACCTCTGACTCTCAGATTTACTACGTAGACGGCTTATATGTATAAAAAAGGAATAGATTCATCTAAAGGAAACCAACGGGAATATAAAATAGTATTTATCTATCTCAAATGCTAATAATGGACTTAATTTCATCTCTCTTTGCACGTTCTCTAATAACACCAATAATATAATATTGAACCAAATTTTAATGATCTTTTTTTTTAAAAAAAATAAAATGATAACAGACTCTACGTATGGTTGACTGAAATGCGTTGAAACTTTCATAATTTTCACCGAATTAATAAAAAAAAAATTGAATTAAACTCGAAATTTATGATGTTACACAAATTACTGAATTACGCGATGTTGTAAACTTGTAAAAGGGGTAACAATTAAGTAATAAAAAAAAAAATTCTTGAATTAAACCCAAATGCAGTTTAGAACTCGCTTCAGTTATTATTTATAAAATACAAGGCGATATTTTGCGATATTTAATGTAGACAACAAATGACGAGAAATAAAAAAGAAACACTAAATTACAAAGCAAATAATATCAATTGATACTTACTATAAATTTTAAAGATCGCAGAATGTCTATCGTTGTCACGGCCAAAATTGCTCAAAACGCTGTTTTTTTCTCTGACGAACGATTTCGGTGCGAAATTACTTTTGAATACCCACTTCCTACTGTCGAAAAGTTTTCGAATGATAAATTACAAAATATAGCGACTAAAAATGGGTTCATAAGCCACACAAAATCTAATCAGGAACCAAAATCACCAGGCAGGAAACTTTCACCTAGGCAAGTTTCAAATGGAAATCCCTTGTCAGCAATAGTAGAGAATCCCTCGATTCAAAATAGCCTAGCTGGAGATCTTGGCGATTCGGGAATGTTTGGGTTTCGTAACTTGGTCAAAAGATCGACGACGCTAACTGCGTTTGCATCTTCAACACTCTCTTTATTTTCTTCGGGCAGTGGAGAATCGCAACCACCATTATCACCAGTACGAAACAATGTTAATATTGAAAAACAAAATATTAGTACGAATTTTATGATTCGATTTGTTTCTTATTGTAGATTAATTGTTATTTTGCTAATATTCTTATAATATTTTTCAAGACAATGTTGCTCATTCAACGGCTTCGCCGTTTACTTACATAGAAGAAGAAACTTATGATGATGGTGGGCTAATTAATTTAAAACAAGCTGATGGTAGTGACAGCGTTTCTGTTAGTGATTATGATACTTCTGAATCATCTCCACGAAGTTCTACTGATTTTTATGTACTTGGATATTCTGACGACAGAAGTAGTAATAGTTGGACTGGTTCATTATCTGAATATAAAAGAAATAGTAGTGGTAGTGGTCGTTCTTCAATTGGAAGTGTGAGATGTAATTCTTCACCTACTCTTAGTCAAAAATATGAAACATTACTATGGGGTTTTGCACAGATAGTTGGGCAATTTGTGGTAGATGGTTCTTTAATAAAGTCTATCGAATTTGAACCATTGAAAACAAAGACAATGTATCGACCTGCTAGTGGGAGTGGTGCTGGGGGTGCCGTAGGCGGTGGAACTTTGGGAATATTCACTCCAAATTCTATACATCCTTCAAGTTTACAAGATCTCCAAGAACGAGCGGGTATGTCTTATAATAATTATTTTATTAACGTATTATCTTTCAAATTACGAACTTATTTATTCTAACTTTCTTTATTTAGACAGTAAATCTATACCTGTATTTTCAACTCCACCATCAATATTGTTTTGTGATTTACATTTGACACCAGGAGAGACTCGAACTTGTAATATTTATTTATTTTGTTTTCTTGTTGAGCTTTTTTTTAGTTAAATATATTTAATAAAAGTATTATTTTTGTTTCTTTATGGTCAGACACATATGAGACTAGATTACCGACTGATTTACCCCCAACCCACCGTGGCAAAGCAATTCGGTTTAATTATAATTTGATAATAGGAACTCATCGAGGCGGATTGAATCAACAATCACATATAGTTCAGTTGCCTTTCCGTGTATTCAATTTTGTCTCTGGTAAATTTTATTACTTGTATAATGTTGGAAAATTTATTATATACCTATGATTTTCTTATGCATGATTTATCTTACATATGATTTATAGATGATGGTTCCAGACCAGTTTATGATTTGATGAATCCTGTTATTATTTACAAAGACGAATCTGTGATAAAATGCAAAGAAGATAATCGGAGGTTATCATCACCAGCAAAAAAGCGAGGTTATTATCATTATCATTATTAATTATTATAATTAATTATAATTATTGTCTGGAGGACATTGCGGGTTATAGATGCTGGTGAAACTGGTGGCTATCTAAATCTGATTGGCTGCTATATTAAATTTCACCAGTTTCATCAGCATCTATAGTCATAGTGACACCTGGTTGTGTATGTGTCCGGGTTTGATTCGTTGATCTGATAAAAGCAAAATTTTGCTCCGAAAATACCAATTGTCGGACTGATCCGTGGTCAACTATAAAAAGCAATTTTAAGTCCTTCGGACGTCTTTGCCTTGAAAATTACCTTATGGGACATAGTAATTACTGTGTCCCGTAGGGTCTTTTTCAAGGCAAAGACCCCAAATGGTTTCCATTTACCTAGTAATTATAATTATTATTAATAATTATTTTTTCAAATTTTTCATTGCTTACGAATGAATGTCAATTTAGACAACAATCGTGAAGAATTCATAGATTATGTGGCAAAACTTGTTCAATGCTCTGATGGTGCGAAATTAGACATGGATAATAAAAGAGATGAAAAGAGGGATAGCGATAATTATGTTTTTGTGGAGAAAGATGTAAGCTCTCTTACCAATATGGCAACAATTATATCAAAGAATGCACGGAAAGGTACTTTCTGATACAACTTTATCACATGATAAATGCCCACATATATTTGATTATTTTTGAATTTTTAGTAAATTTTGATATTTGTAAAAATAATCAACGAGTGGCACAATTATGTCTTTTAAAGACATTGTATCGACTGGGAGATATTATAACGGGAACATTAAACTTTATTGATGCTATTATACCTAGTTATCAGGTTTGAATTTTTTTATATCTTATGTAAAAACTTTTATATCTCAAGGGAATGCTTTTTTTCAATGATAAAAATTTTTATGATAGGTATCTATCACATTGGAGAATAATGAACTGATTGAATCATCTATAGCAAATCGACCACAACAACAAATATCGCGTTTGACACGTAAAATACATGGTGAACACCATGAATTTTGTCTGAATGCTTCACGTATAAGCTTTGCCATTTCCATACCAACCAATTGCACGCCAGATTTTGCGACTACAGGAGGTAAATAATTTAGTGATTCATTTCGATAATCGACATTTGTTGTTAATTTATTTGTTTTTTTACAGTGAAACTTCAATGGAATTTACGATTGGAATTCATTACTGGATCTAAGAATGATTATCCATTGATGCCGCTCAATGCGGATGAACGTCATCATTAT